CCTTCACTCGTCAATCGGAAAGGTGTTTTTCTCTAAGACAATGCACGTCCACATGTAGCACGTTTGACGCAACACAACATTATGGAGTTTAGTTGGGAAGTCCTCCCCCACCCACCATATTCTCCAGATATGGCACCATCATATTACCAACCTTTTCGTTCACTTCAACACCATCTTAACGAGAAAACGTATGCAAATGTGGAAGGTGTTAAAGAGGACATCGACATGTTTTTGCATCAAAGTGATTTCTTTAATCAGGACATTAACAACCTGATTGTAAGATGGAAAAGCATCATCGATAAGAGTGGAGACCATTTCAATAAATAAATATTTTGTTTTGATATATAAGTTGTTCGGGTTTTTTCATCTAAAGAAAGCGACATGAATTTCTTGACGACCTAATACATACATACACTTAGTATTTGCCCCTGTAAGACCTCGATAAAGGGGAGAAATATAGACACCGACGTACTCCTCATACAAAAGAAAACAACATTAACTTTACGACGTGTAGTTTTTCTGTCTATAGTGACAAAAAAAGTTCGGCCAAAATTTAAAGATCGAATATCTTTAAATGTTTAAAGTTTTAGTCGAGATTAAAAACTGGCTTGTATATCGATAAGGTTTATCGGAAAACTGTCATGAGTGACATATGAGAAAGGTGTTTTGTTTTTCTTGTTTTCTTTTTAAGATATCAGCTACTTGAAATCGATGGAGTTGCTGCAACACTATTGAAAAATCTGACATGGTGCTATGATTGTTTCTTATTGTTCACAATTTTCAGTCTTGCTTAAGTTTTACAGGATTTCGCTCTTCTCAGTTGCAATGTGTAATATTGAAATATATTCTTTATAATGACTTAAAAGCGTTTAATAACCAAATTAAGCATTCAGGAACTGTTAAGTGTAACATATATCTGACTTTAATGCTATTATATACAAGAAGAGAACGGTAGTTATTTGAGATCATAATTTACAGTATTATACTTCTTTAAGTTATTCATAAATCTATAAACGTTAATCTCCTAAAAAACTTTAGAAATAAAACTATAAATATATATTTAAATGTTCATGTTAAATTTTAGGTGTTATAAGCCTTCATTTAATTTACTGTACTTTACCTTTCTCTCCTGGGACCTGTAAATAATGAGGTAAAGACGTCAACGGATGTGCTGCAGAGCTTCTTTCTGGCAACATGTTCCTCCGAGGATTATTTAGCTTACCTGTGCCACATTATCGTTGAAATCAAAGACCAAACAGCGCAATGATCTCGGAGATGGGTGTGTGAGGTTTATCGAGGTGTTCTGCTGGAATTCCCCTGACGACATGTCTTGAATGGTGCTGTGACACAGTTGAAAGTCATGAAGAGAAGAGCGTGATCTAACTGGATGAGCTCTTGCTGAGCTCAGCGTTGGAACAGTCCACTGATGCCGACAAGGGCGGAAGAAGGTCTTGGTACGACGAGTACACTATCATCCTTCGTGGCTTTTTTATGTTTCCTGCAAGTTTAACGTTAAGCTTATATATCGTATTTTTTATTTCACTTGAAAAAAAGATTTTTGAAACAATTTACTTCTTTAAATTTGCTAAACTAAGCATGCTGTTTAATAATGATTTAAAACATAGACCAAACCAGATAATTATATATTAGTAACCAAAAACTTTGTTTTGTTTCAAACGATTATTCTTTTCAATGTTGCATAATGAGTTGTTTACTTTATAAATTGGGCCACGATAGATAAACCAAAAATATTGTTGAAACTTATATTTTCTACAGCACTCGATGACCCACATTTAACCAAAAATACTTATATATATGTATGTGGTGAGGTTAATGAATTAAATCACATTTTAGAAGTGTATGTTACTGATACAGAAAACAATACCTAAAAAACCTTCACATTCACACCCTCCTTATACATTTGTTACATGTGTTAGGTTCACTTAAACCCTTACCACGTTGGTGTATTGAATCGTACAGTATATTTTTAGAGTGTATTCGTTCGTAAATGAAACGTCATTGTCATAAACGTAACATACAAAAACGTTCATCCTCATAAATATTTTACACTGTCTGCCTGAACAATCAAATGATGAAGTTATTTTAGGAAGTTATTTCTAGTAGACAGTTTGGTCTGAGACACCTCTCTATGCATGGGAGCAGCTACACAAGGTTACAGGCGCTAACTGTCCCTAATGTTTAAATGTTTGCACCCACCGCAAAAGATTGGACTTCTCTAATCAAAAAATGAGATTTGACCAGCATTCTTACAACGCACTCACGATTCCAAAGTGCAAACGCGTTTTTGAGACACCGGCATGCGAACCATAGACCGTCAGATTCTTCCTATATGATAAGCTATCTTAAAATCCTATATACCCTACCATCAGCAGCAGCATACTGCTTGGATGGGTTAAGAGACTAATAAAAAAACCAACAAGATCCTTTTCTTCTGTTAAGAAGAATTATAGAATTATAGAAATGTTACGAATACTATAGGCCAACATGAACCGCCAGAATAAGGAACACAAATTATCATCAGCTAACTAATGTTATGTTCTTCAGCATAGACTTCGTGTACTTATAACTTGTTTGTTTGTTTAATTTCTGTAATGCATATTGGTGTATAAAAGACATATTAATACCAGAAATAAACGACATTATAACACCAAAATGTCGTTTTTATTTAATTAGACACTCAACGTTTCGCTTTACAACTAACTTCTTCAGGAGCGTTCACTAAAGCACAAACCGAAACTGACAGTACCAAGATTTGTGCATTAAGCCATCACGTGTAATAATAACATGTCAAGAGATCGATCAATAAAATATGAAGTTTTTTAGTAGAAAGTAAGTCATACAATTGTTTTTGTAATTATCTCAAATTCAAAACCTTAGTTTATTTGTTGCTGTTTTTTTCAATAAAAGCACTCATCTACACCCTTTAAATCTTATATTTAGTTGATAATTTTCAGTATTGTAAAATTTGATGTTTCATAAGATTAATTAAATTCTCTGTTAAATAATGTTGTTGTTTTTTACAATTCGTTACAATTATTGCAAAATAAATCATATATATGATTATGGGAAAGATGTGACTTTAAAAGCAATAGAAAAACAACCATCTTTTTAAAACCTAACTCCAAAAAAATGTGTTATCGCGAAATAATAATGATAAATTGAAATATGGGCACCCAATCTGTGGTTGCAACTCCATTTATTCCACTTTCGACATTTCGGAACCCACAAGCTCCTACCTCACAGATATGCAACAACTATGTTAGCTAGGATACGAGATGCATAATGTATTCTAGCAAATAATTACAATTAATTGTGTTTGTATTTTGTATTTATAACAAAGTTACTAAGGTTATCTGACCCGTCATCAATGATGAATAACTAATCAGCAGCACCATTCCACCCATCACCCATACTTATGGATTGACTGTCACTCTTATAACGAACCCACAGCTTGTCAGCTTCGAAATCCAGACCCCTACCATAGGGCCAAACAGAATCCCTTGCTAATTAAAAGGAACATCTAAGCAATATCAAGAAAATAGTGACATATTACAATACAAAAGGTATACTTATAAATAGGTACAAAACAAAGTTGTTTATCTAAAATAATCAGAAAAATCACACATTTACATTTGAAATAACTATGACTGAAAATAATAAGTTGTTATTTTAGTTTGAGATTTCATTCAAGACCAATAATTGTTTTAATCAGTAGTTCAATAACTGGTAATGTATCAAAATAATTAGTAATCTTGATACTTTAAACATATCTACTTAAGAGTAAATCTGTCTACTCTGACGTTGTTGTTCTAACCTAATAAAGAATTTGCTAGCCTTTACTTGAGGAACAAGAAAAGCCAATTTATGTTGTAGTGATACACTATCGAGGTTTCTTTTTATTTAATTATCTAGAAAACAGTAACTTTTAAACGAAGCAGTAAACCAAAGAAACTTCAGGTTTTTTGTTGTTTTTTTTTTTTTTTGCAGCGTAATCAAATCATGGGTCATTGCTTTCTATTTTAAGTTACTTTCAAAAGTTAGTCAAACAATAACATAATTTGGTTAACTTGCAACACCTTATCAGTTTACAAAAACAATTATTAGTACACATGTGTGATGGAGTAAGCTGTTCTGTTATGCATTCTGAAGATAAGTATTTGATATATTCCAGTAAACACGAGTATTGAAAGTTTAAAAATGGGGAAGAAAGTGCGTTCGCATTTCTATAGCTCCTCATCAATCTTCATTAGATCAAGAAAGCATAAATCAGCACACGAACCATAATTCTTTGTGTAAAATGAAGTAGACAAGCTCAATAAAACAATAAACTTGTTCTAAATACTCTACAGTACAAACAATCAAATTATTTAGTTAATCGTTACTTATGTATTTTATTTAATTTTTTTTAATTATTCATGCCTTTAATTAAACACTCCAAGTTAATGTAGTCTAGCTCAATGGAGGTTTTTCTTTCTTATTATAGAGGGAGCATTAACATCTCAAAATGCATATAAAGATTTAAGAAGCTTGAAAAATATCATTTTTCTAATAGATATTTAAGAACTTCTGTAGAGGAAACCATAACATTAACATATGGAAATACCACAAAAAGTTTGTAACTGCAAAAAATAAAACCGAAACTAGCGTTTCTTGTAAGCTTGAAGAATTAGGTATTCAAATGACCTTACAACTTTTATAAGAACAAACAACTGTAAGTACAACAAGAAACTTCACAGCGTTGAACAGCAAGACGTTGATACATATTTCATTAATTTACTTGAAACAATGTTAAACATTTGGTTTCGATGCTCCCAGTGAGCATAACTCAGATAGCTCATTGTGTAGCTTTGTGCACAGCAACAAACAAACAAAAAATACTTGCAAATCTTTTTTTGGAGAGTATAACTGTTTTGCCACGTTGATCATACTAACTCAGTATTATAAATTTGATTTGTAGTTCAGCGTTTTTATATCTACTTTGAAAGCACAGTTACGGTAATTTTATAATCTTTCTCCCATAAATAATAATTGTGATGTTGTGTTTGTTTGTTTTGTTTGTTTATTGTTAAGGTCACAATGGGCTATCTGTGCCAGTTTTTAGCGTTGCAAGCCTACAGACTTACTGCTGTGCTACTTGGGGTCGATGATAGTGTTTTTGATGGAAAGGCTGAAAAGGCTTAGCAAATATATAATATATATGTCTCATTTTTCTATCTCTTAATATGCCTGATTATTGATTTCTTATAGTGCCAACGATAGTAAACGTAGTTACTATGACTAACTTCCTGAGTTTTTAAGAAAACCTGAAGATTCAAAACAACATCCAACAAAAATCTATATACATTTGGCAAACATCTTTCTCAGCAGTAACAAACAATTTGTTTACTGTATGTGAAGCTTTTCTTATATTTATAGTGCAATCTCTTGTTTCAAAATTTCTTGAAAGTCGTTTCGTTTTTGTTTGTTTGAAGTTAAGTACAAAGCAACTCAACGGGCTATCTCTACTCTGCCCACCACGGGTATTGAAACCAGGACTCTAGCTTTGTAAGTCCGCAGATATACCCCTGTGCCACTGGAGGGAGGGGGAACGTCATTTAGTAAAAACTAAACTTTTTTATTCAGATGTTTATAACTAAATACTATGATCAGTTTTTCTCACAGCTTTGGTAGACAATGAGTATTATACTGAGATTTAATAACGAAAACACATAATAAACATGAATCTGCCAGTTTATTGAAATTCCTGTGAACATAACAGCAACTCAGTCATTTGTCAATATGAATAGAAAAGGTGGTACTCATGTATGATTTTAACTTCCTTTTTTTAATTGATGTGAATGGTTTCTATAAACCCTAATAATTTTCGCTCATAATTTACTTTGATATCTGTGTTGTTTCATTTTGCTGGCAAAGATGTTACATCCTCCCTGTGCAGGTTAGAAAAATACTTAATCACATTTTTGTGATACTCCATTGCTGTTAATTAAAATTACAGATTTGTGGTGGAAACTACGGGCATTAATAAATAAAACTCTTTATCTTTCAACCTGGTTATTATAATGCGTGATTTTACATAGAGATGTAAAGCTAAATCTGAATTTAAAACGCAAGAAGAAAGCGTTCGTTCTCCAAGCGAAGAAGGAGTCACTAAAGAACAAATGAATTATAGACTCTACATATTAAGAGCAAAGAAAAGGTGGAAAATATTATCCATTTTGAGTAATTATAGAAGAACATTAGGCAGGACAGCAAAGGCTGAGATTGAGAAGAGAACTGAAAAAAAAATAGCAATAAGCATCTTGTAGA